CATGCTCCAATTCCAACAGATGGAGAAATGGAGAAGGGATTGTGGTATGACCACGCCCCACTGGTAATGCTTTCTCCCACTTCCTTTCTATCTGGCAAGTGTACATGTCTTTTTTTTTTTTTTTTGAGAGGTTTTCGCTATAGGGCATGTGCACTATTTCGCTATAGGGCATGTGCACTAGCGAGACAGAGAGAGAGAGAGAGAGAGACATAGAGACAGAAGCAAGAAATCACTCCCCGGGAGGATGGTCACGCCACAATCCCTTCTCCTCCATTCTCCTCTCGTGATCTTGGGCACGCACGCACACGCGCCTGGCATGAGTTTTAAGCCACCGGATCCGGGATGCGAACCGTGGTCAATTACGTGGGAGTCCAGCGACATAGCCATTATGCTAACTGCTGGTTCCCACAAGTGTACATGTCTTATGACGAAAAATTTTTTAAAAGAATTCTAAAAGCTATGACTAAAAATAGCTACCAAACTTGAATTAAGTTTCTTAATTATATTTTATGTGAAAAAAATAGCATAAATACCTACTAGCTCTAATCTCTTTTCCTAAACTCAAATCAGAAAATAATTATATCATAATCTTTAAGTCTTTCCAAGGCATATAATCAAAATAAACTTAAGTGCACAATGGAGAAGAAAATAACATAGCATAGTTGTCAAAATGATTCTAGGGTTAAATATTTGACTGATGTCTTGAGACCTAGGCTCTAAATCAAACTACAAGGCAAGGTTAGCGAGGCATTAAACCTGTCTAGGTTTCAGTGAAATTATGTGCATAGATTAGTACTATGGTTCTATAATCTTAGAAAGTGATCTTAGAAAGTAAATAAGTAATATAAACTTGAACACTGGATTAAAATTCTCATTATCAATTTATTAATTACATTAATTACGCAATATTTCATTTCTTGACAACTATGTATAAAAGTTTTCTAGTCTATATTTCTAATTTTGCCTCAATTATTTGAAGTATATGTGTAATTAAATTTAAAAACTTATTTTTTTTTTCCATTTCAAAACTATTGTGAGAAGACTAAAGCATAAAAACATTGGTTTGGAAAGATAGAAATTCATAACTAGAAAGCAGACAACAGTTGTTCCTTATATAATATCAAATTAAACATCTAGTTATATAATATCTTTATCGTTCTAATAGATCTAATAATAGAAGAAAACTTAATTTTTAGTAGATATAATGACCAATATTTTCTGGTTTAAAATGATTAAATGACTATAGTAAGAAAAAAATCTTAGATATAAATTTACATAACTTAGAGAAATTATTTTGAATCAGATGAAAATATAGAGAAGCAGAAACTGAAAAATAGAAAAGTGACATTAGATGAGTATTAATATAAATCATATTAAATATTTCTATTAGGTAGTTGATATTCCACATATTTAAATTTAATTCAAATCAAAATTAAAACCTCATCTTCAAAGACCAAAGACTCATTACTGACTTCATTCAATTTCTGGTTTATGGAATGCTAGCAAAAACTACAGTTGACAAGTCTTTATAGTCAATATGTACATAACTATAAAGAAAAATATATATTTACTTTAACATGACATAAAGTTTATTAGACTGGGCAATAATGCAACACAGTTAATAACATAGAATTTGGAGCTAGACAGGCTCACTAATCTTGGTTCAATCACTTTCTAGTTTCTGTCCTTAGGCAGTCACTAACTTCTACCTTCTACTGAGCTTCTAGTTTTTCATCCTTAAAAGAGGGATGAGAAAACCTTTATCCCTGGATGCAGTAAGGATAAGATATCATCAACAGAAAATGACTATTTTAACAACTGGTACATGGCAAATATTCAATAACAAGTGTCAATTATTTGGTTAAGATACTAGAACACAATTGCCTGAAGCAGGGAGCCTGACCTGTTTCAAATTAAACGTATCTCCAGAATTTACATTCTGTGATTCCAAAAGTGCTGCTTTTTCTTTTGGCACCAGTGAAATAATCTCATCTCCTGAATGTATTTATTATTTTCTTTCCATATAATGGATTTAGTAATAGGATAAATAGCATTTTTAGAATTGCTTTTCTCTGCTTTAAAACTGTTGTCATTCATTAAATATACAAATATCTAGAACCTTCACAATCTAAACATTACCATATAATTTCTTGGGAGTAAAATTCTTTTTAAAAATTTTTAAATTTAACTTTATTTATTCATTTTTATTTATTTAAATTTGACCAGAGAGGGACAGAGTGAGAAAGAGAGTGAGGAAGAAAGAGAGAGAGAGAAAAAGCGAGAAAACAAGCTGCCAGGTCCAGGACTAGAACACCATCAGTCATGTGGCAGTCCAGTGTCCTTAACCACCATGCCACCTGCTGGTCCCCCTTGGAGTAAAATTTTTACAGTGAGTCTGTTATCTCTCCATTTATCTAGCATTCATCGGTCTATCCATCAATCTATCTATCGATCTACATCCATATCTATCAATATATCATCCATAAGTGAGAAAGAGACAGAGAACTGGCACCCCGGTAGGGTCTTGACACCACAATTCACTGCCAGGTGTAGTCAGTTCTGGATCATGGGCATGGATAATGTGCCTGGCATACCCACAGTGGTCTCTGATGCAAACCCAGTCTTCCCATTTCAGCCAGCCTCAAAGAACATTACATTTTACCACTGTACTTCCATCCAGTCCCTGCAGTCATTCTCAATACACTGTCTTCTCTCATACTCCATATCCAATTTTTCAGGATCCCAGATGGCTCTCTTCTAGACAACTTCACACCCCCTACACAATTAACAAACTACCATCATTTTCCCCATGGATTAATTCAATGATCTTATGATTTGCCAGATTCCGATCTTTGTTCTCTATAATTTAGCCTGGACTTAGCCACCAGAATAGGTCAGTTGATGCTATTGCTGGGCTCAAAACCCACTAAAAGCTCATATTTCTCTCTGAATGAAGCTAATGTCTTTACAAAGACTTCCAGGGCCTCACAAAAACTGACTTTTCTCTCTTGACTTTATTTCCTACTACATGCACCCTCTGCTTCTGCTGGTCATCCTGCTGTTCCTCAACATACATTTCTGTTTTATAGCCTACATAAAGATGTTTTCTTCCTCCTGAAACATCTTCCTCAGATAACCATGTGGCTGATTCTTCTAGTCTTGTTCAAATCTCACTATCTTGAGGCCTACTCAAACTACTATGTCTAATATTGCAATCTGTAGTTTATTTATCATGTTTGTATTATTAGGTTGTTGGGAAAGTAATTTCTATGCAAAAATGTGTCATGACTTTCCCAACAATCCAATATTTATGATGATATAGATCTTCTACTACTCTTCAAGATTTAGTCCTAGAATAGTCATTGGGTAACCTTAGACCAATACCGTGTTTGCTAGTTAATTCTGAACCTCTATCAACTCTTCCTGGGAAGTTTTGAAGCCTGTCTTATTCCAAAACAAAACAAAAACAAAAAACAACAAAAAAGAAACTGATTCTTTAACAAGCAAATATTTATGGTAAAATATAATTATGACTTAAAAAAAGAAACATATTATAAAATTCTCACAATAGCAGATAGCTGTAATGATTTTAAACAAACTCCTTGGAAGGAAACTTTAAGATAAATACAAATCAAAAGGTTAATTTTCCTACAGTCATTAAAAAATGTGTGTGTGTGTGTATGTGTATAGATATAGATATATACATACACAATCTTCTTAAACTCCATAATTTGAATATCCTATTAGGTAAGAATAAAAATATTCCCTGTAAACTCTGTAAAATACATTAAGAAATATTAAAATGATTTTTTAAAATGTTTCTTTCAGTAGAGAAATACTGAATAATAGCAATAGTCATGTTTATTGAGAGATTTGAGCAAAAGAGTGGTTTGATCTGTGCTGGGTAAAAATAGTCATAGTTCTAAATGTTTCAAGATGATCATTTATAATCCTTATAGCAACTATATGAAATAGGTACCATTATTAGGCCCTGAATGGGGTATAAACAGCTAAGAAACCTATCCTTGACTGTCAACAGGACATGCTTCTAGACTACCTGATTTCACAGCTTGTACTTTTGGTCTCTACATGAGACTGATGGACTAAAAGACAATGAAAATATTTCAACCCAAAAAAAAAAAAAAAAAAAAAAAAAAGATTCCCCCTTGGAATTTAAAAAAAAATAGGAAAAAGTTGTTAGCCTATACATCATTACAGGTTCTGAACAAAGAAAACTATTACAAGCTCATTGGTTAAGGAAAGTCTGTCCAAGCAACTAATTCGTGAGCTAAAATTCCTTACTAAAGTTTAAAATCAATAAATAACTAGAGAAATTCATAACAAAAGAGAACCTTTGTCTATAGTACAGATGGAAGGTCTGTGTGTGTGTGTATATTTGTGTAAATAAATATATAAGCAAAAGTTAAAGTTAAAATTATTTTCACAAGAAATGAAATAGAATTAAGAATGAAAACTGATACAAAAGTTAATCCTCACCTATTGATTTATGCTCTAATTTTTACTCACTCCTTAGAAATTCTATATAATGAACCTTTTCTCAACTCATTCATAGAAGGAAGTAGGAGGAAGAGATCTTCTCAAACAAATTTATTAGTAAATATAGTAAGCATTCAACAATATAAATATGTCCTATTGATAGCCAAGGGGAAATTTTCCTGAAGAAGTAGCAACAAGCCTAACCAGAAACAGCAAACCCTCTAGCATAATAAAAAGTGTTGTGCTCAGTTGTCATATTGTTTAAAAAAAACAAAGACTTACTGAATTACTTATGTGAAAAGAAATAATGGAACCAGAATAGTCCAAATAGAACATAGTAACAAAATACAACATTTGCAATGATTTCTTACTTCTTTGCTCTTTGCAACTTCTGCAATAGCAGCAGTCCTTTGCTTTTCAAATTCATCATTATCATTTGTAGTTTTGACAGGCAATGTAACTTGCAATGTCTTTCTTCGATCAAGTTCTCTGCTATCCACTTGGACATGAGATAAACACTTCTGGTAAAGTAAATAAAAATAAGTCAATTCAGTAGTTCCAAAAAACATACCAGTTTTCATTATAACTAATACTCTTTCAAAAATAATATTTGTCTCTCTTACAACAGCTGATAGCACACAAAACTATAATTCTATCCCACAGTTAAAAATATAGATAAAAGTCCAATTAAAGTAACTTTCAAATAAATATAATTAGTAAACAAGATTAAAAATTATACAAAAATATGGTCATCTAACATAAATTGGACCAAGAAATTTAAGTTTCATTTTAGGATTATAATTTTAGATTTCATCCTAGACTAATGCATAAGAAGTAAAATCAGCTTTGCAAGTAAAAGCTTAGTACCCATATTATATCTACCTGAGGGTTAGAAAATACAATTATTTTTATTAAATGATGTACCTCCACATAAAAACCAAAAGCTAAAACATACCCTTCTCAAGTAGGCTACAAAGTTTAGCTTTTTTAGTCAAATAATATACTAAGAAAGGCATTATCTAAAACCTAAATTCTGTTCTCCCTTCCAAATCTACTAGTAAGAATTCTATATAATGAACCTTTTCTCAACTCATTCATAGAAGGAAGGAGGAGGAAGAGATCTTCTCAAACAAATTTATTATATAAATATAGTAAGCATTCAACAATATAAATATGTCCTATTGATAGCCAACATTATCTATCTATTCCCATATACAAAGCTTCATAAGAATTTTTGAGAATGAATATTAAAAAAATTACTAAAACTATACCTTTTATTACATTTCCTAACCTTCCTAAAAGCAATAAACGATGCTTCAAATTCTTAAACAAATAACTAGATCACAAGTCTGTGAGGAAAATAAGAAACTTGGCTTTCTTTTTTTTTTAATTTTTTTTTATTTATTTACTTACATTCATTCACTGTACATCATTATAGCATACAAAATGAGATTTTTCCATTCAGAGTACACTGTATATTGGCTCAATCAAGCACATCAACATATATGTTATTGTCAACACATAATTTTCCATTTCTTGTTTTCTGTGTATTTTGCCTTTTTCCCATCCTTGATTCCCTATCTCACCCTCTGCCATCTCTCACCCTTTGCCATCTCCCACCCTCCTCCCACATTGTGTCTGGTATCTATTGTTGCTTTCTCTGCCTCCCCCATTTTATTGAGAAACTTGGCTTTCTCTTAAACAATTTATCAAAGACAAATATCACCAAATGTTTAAGGTGAAAGTAAAATTTTATAAATATTCAATTTATTACTGCAAATATAAGTTATTAAAATGTTTATACTCTGTTTACATTCTGGGTTTTTTATTATTATTCTAATGAGAGAGTAACATCAGTAACATCAATATGATTCTAACCATATGATTTCATAACTCCTTTTTCTTGACTGTCCCTCATTCTAAAACACAGTAAACATCAGCATCTGTTAAAAATACTTTCAAAATAGCCATGATGCAAAAATGTCTTTAATTTTGAGTAGGCCTTACCAAAAAGTTTGTGAAGAGGATGATAGTCAACTGATTCCAAGCATTCATTTTCTAATTAACTATTTTTTTTTTAACCAAAGTTAAACATACGAACACAAATTAATAATGAAATGTAGGTCTCTGTTTCCCACCTTTGTTATCCCCAACTCATCCTAACTTTTGGGGGGAAGAAAGGAAAGGTAATTTATTAAGTAAAAGTGAAAATATACTCCTGAGAGGTAGGAGTGGGACTTCACTTTTAGCCAGCACTCTCAAAAATAAATGAATAAATAAATAAATAGCCAATGCAAAGCATATTTTCAATAGCTAAGGTTCCTGGCTTCATGAGACAAAGACAGATACCATAGCAATTATTCTCACACTGCTAATTCCTTCAATCTCTGGATTAATGGCTTTTGGAAAATAATCTACACAAACAGTTTAATTAATTACCATCAAGAAACATCCACAAAATTATTAAGTTCCTTGGACTTCACCCTTCCATATTACTCCATGACCGGTGAATCACTAGTACAACACAAAACTAAACACAACTTGAATACAAATGAAAAACATTTGTTCCTGATTTAAGTTTATTTGTTGTCAAAGTCATTACCTGTCCAAAAGGCACAAAAGGAGGTGGTCCACCTTCAGTTCCAATGTTGCTTCTATTGTGTTTTGATAAGCTCTGAGGGGAGAAAAATCTCAGTCATAAAACAGAAATTATACATAAGATTGATTTAAAACATTTATAATGTACTAGGAATCCACTTTTTAGAGTAGAATTTTACAAGAAACAGGAAAAAAAAACTCCTCTATAAATTACTTCAAATGGTACAAAACATTTTATTCCTAATTTCAATAACTAGGCAAAATAATCTTACCACTCTTCCCTTACCAAAACACATATTCACATATAATTTTTAGAAATATTTATCAAGCTGATCTCCTTAGGAGAAAATGGTCTTCCTCAACAAGTAGTAAATTTAAAGATAACTTTGGTAATTAGAACTTTTCTCTCAAGTATATTAAAATTATAATCTAACAGACAACTATTACCTGAAAATTATCTTCAAAATAAAGCTTTTAGATATAAAATTTATTTGCAGACAACATATTAATAAAGATGATTTTATTTATTTAGAGATATTATTATATTGGGTCATCAGAAATGTCATGATGCATTTTGTGTGGAAAATTGTGCCAATTTATAATGTGAAAGTACTTTCAGTTACAGTAAAATTTTCTTAGTAATGTTTCATGTTTTGTAAAACAATTCATACTTTGCAAATTAAAAAAAAAGGAAATTTTCAGGGCCAGCCAGCAAGTGGCATGTTGGTTTAGGGTGCTGGACTCTGACATGGCCAGCCACAGTTCGAGTCCCGGACCTGGTGGCTTCCTTTCTCACTTTCCCTTTCTCTATTTATCTCTAACTCTGTGCCTCTCTGATCAAATTAAAAATAAATAAATAAATAAATAAATAAAGTTAAAGGAAATAATTATTAATTTTTTTTCTGTCCTTTTTATTGCTAGAATGCAGGTACACTCGCCAGAGAAAAAAAATATCCCACAATTGGTGTTCTGTCCTCCATTTGTTCCGCCATCTTGCCATCCTGTCAGGTTTGGGGACATGGAAGCACACCTGCCTGGTGTTTTTCAAGCTGCAGTGGCTGAGATTTGAACCACAGTTGGCCATATGAGATTGAGCTTTGTATACACAGTGCTTAACTGCTACGTTACAGGGCAGCCTAGTAATTCAAAGAAGTATGCAATAAACTGATATTCTTTAATAAAATTAATCTTCCAAACCTTACTAATTTGAGTTTTCTTTTTCCCAGACTCTCAAGGTTAGTATTAGAGACATAACAATGTATAATGAAAATGGGGAAAAAAATTGTTTTTCTGGTAAAAGCAATTTCTCACATTATAAAGTTCTTCCAAAATGCAATAATGCATCTTCAGAAGACTTCCCTTCAGTTATCTATTCCTCCTATTTACTTTTTTTTAGATGTTAATACACATGTGTCAAACATTTTATTCGATATAGCTTCTTAACTTTTAACTTTTGTGCATTTTTATTATCACTACAGAAAATGTTTTTAAAAATTAACAAATGCGCTTTTAAGTACATTCAATAGTTGCTGAATTATATGAACGATACTGTTTATATAAGTTACACATAGAGTAGTATGACTAGTGATAACCATAACAGATTATTGAGAAAAAGTTTTAAACTAAATGAATGATACCTTTCTTTACAACCAATAGTTGGGATATTAACCTGATTTTTAAAAAGAGTATCAATACATAAAATTATAGAGGGGGTCATTCCCTGAGCTTTAATTTACCACAGATATATGAAAAAGCTTACTCAAATTATTTCAATTTATACTATAACATCCTTAATAAGGCCACTTGAATGACACCTTTCTTTACAACCAATAGTTAGAATATTAACCAGATTTAAAAAAAAAAAAAAAAAAAAAACAAGTAACTATAGAGGGGGTCATTCCCTGAGCTTTAATTTACCACAGATATATGAAAAAGCTTACTCAAATTATTTCAATTTATACTATAACATCCTTAATAAGGCCACTTGAATGACACCTTTCTTTACAACCAATAGTTAGAATATTAACCAGATTTAAAAAAAAAAAAAAGAAAAACAAGTATCAATACATAAAATTATAGGAGGTCTTTCCCTGAGCTTTAATTTAACACAGATATAAGAAAAAGCTTATTCAAATTATTTCAATTTATAATATAACTTCCTTAATAAGGCCACTATGTTGCCAATAATATCATCTCTCAATAATTACAAGCATCTTAGATAATTTCTATTTTCTGCCCTGTTGAAAGCACAAGAACGAGATTTAATCTCCCTCTATAAACAAATAGCAACTGGACAATGTGTAAGGAAGTTATTTCAAGACATAAGACATCAAGTAGTCCAAGACTTTTATCTTTAAGAGAAAAAGACCCAAAAAAAAGCAACAATGATTAAAAAAAAAAAAAAGAAAAAAAAACTGGTGATTCTGGCTGTTTTCCCAGAGGCAAGATGCAGACAGAGAACATAGCTGAGTTGAGAACATCAATCTCATGGTTCAAGCAGACTGAAGCAACTGGAATTTGTGGTTAAGTGTCAGAAAAGAGAGACCACTATAGAAAAGAAACATGCCTAGGATTTCTGTGAGAGATTGGTAAGAACTAGGCTAAGCCAAAAATAATACGAATGTAAAACTGAACAATTCCCAGAGTTCACAAAGGATAAAGTGAAAATACAGTGCCAACCACCTAGACTAGATAGAGTCTTTGATGATCATTCAGAGCAGTGAATAAAGATTCAGAGAACTGGGACCAGCAGATGGCATAATGGTGACATAACTGGACTCCCTCATAGTCAACTGTGGTTCGAGTCCAAGACCTGGCTACTTAAAACTCATGCCAGGTGCATGTGGGTGCATGTCCAAAGTCCCAAAAGGAGAATGGAGAAGGGACTGCAGCATGGCTATCTCCCCGCCCGGGAGGGGGTGATTTCTAACTTGCTGTCTCTCCCTCTTCAGGGAGAATATGCGCCCTCTGACAAAAATATGTGAATACTACCTCAAAGTGGTCTACAGAGTCAAGGTAGTCTCCATCAAAATCCCAATGACACTTTCTGCAGAAATAGAAAAATTCATCCTAAAATTTACGTGAACCTCGAGGAATACCAAATAATAAAAAAAATTTTGTAAAATGTATCACACTTCCTAATTACAAAATGTAATAAAAAAATACTGCAATAATTGTGGCATATAGATCTGTAGATCAATTAAATAGAGAACCCAGAAATAAAGCCTCACATATACAATCAAGGGTTTTTTATGAGAGTCACAAGATGACCCAGTGGGAAAAGACAATTTTTTTCAACTAGTGAGAAAATTGGACATCCACTCCACCTGCAAAAGAATGAAGCTGTACCCTTAACTTTAAAAATAAGCCTAGGGAACCAGCAGTTAGAGTAATGGCTATGTCGCTGGACTCCCACGTAGTCGACCACAGTTCGCGTCCCGGACATGGTGGCTTGAGACTCACGCCGGGCGCATATGTGTGCATGCCCAGGATCCCAAGAGGAGAGCAGAGGAGAGGGGACTGCCGTGTGACCATCCCCCCTGGGGGTGATTTCTCACTTTTCTGTCTCTATGTCTCTCTCTATCTGTCTGGCGACCACACGTGCCCTATAGTGAAAACCTCTCCAAAAAATAAAAAATAAATAAGCCTAAATGGAACCAACAGATGGCTAATGGCTACGTCACTGGGCTCCCATGTAGTCCTGAGGTTTGAGTCCTGGCACACCAGGAACGTGTTCATGTGTGCCCAAGATCCTAAAAGGAGAATGGAGGAGAAGGGATTACAGCATAGCCATCCCCCGGGGGGGGGGGAGGGGATCCAGGGGGGTGATTTCTCACTTTCTGTCTCTTTGTCTCTCTCATGAGCGCATGCCTCCTATAGCAAAAACCTCTCAAAAAAAAAAAAAACCTTAAAATGGATCAAATGTCTAAGCATAGAAACTAAACCTATATTACTCTTACATTTGTGCACCAAAAGACCTTATCAACAGAATAAAAAGGCAAACCATGGGGGCCAGCAGGTGGCATGGTGGTTAAGGGTGCTGGACTCCCATATGGCCAGCTGTGGTTCAAGTCCCAGAACTGGTGGCTTGCTTTCTCACTTTAACTCTCTCTCTCTCTCACTCTGTCCCCTCTGGTCAAGTTTAAATAAGTAAATAAACAAATAAATAAATAAATGCAAACCATGGAATGGTTATTAAAAAAATTACAAATCATATATTTTATAAGGGGTTGATATCCAGAATATATAAAGAACACAAACAACAACAGAAACAACCTGATTTTAAAATAGGCAAAAACTTAAATAAAAATTTCTTCGGGGAACCAGCAGTTAGCGTAATGGCTATGTCGCTGGACTCCCACGTAGTCGACCGCAGTTCATGTCCCAGACCCGGTGGCTTTAAAACCCGCCAGGCGCGTGTGTGTGCATGCCTAAGATCCCAAGAGGAGAATGGAGGAGAAGGGATTGCGGCGTGACCATCCCCCATGGGGGGTGATTTCTTGTTTTCTGTCTCTGTGTCTCTCTCTGTCTGTCTGGTGAGCGTACGCGCCCAAAGGAAAACCGCCAAAAAAAAAAAAAAAATTTCTTCAAAGAAGATTAAAAAGTGGCCAGGACCAGCAGGTTGCATAGTAGTTAAGGGTGCTAGACTCTCACATGACCAACTGCAGCTCCAGTCCTGGACCTGGTGGCTTGCTTTCTCACTTTCTCTCTCTCTCTCTCTTTCTCTGTTTCTCTCTGGTCAAATTATAATAAATAAATAAAGTTAAGTAAAAACAATTCTTCTAAAAAAAAAATAAATAAGTGACCAAAAAGCACACAAAAAGATGTTCAACATTACTAGACATTAGGGAAATGTAAATCAAATTCACAATAGAATTCTATTTCACATACATTAGGATAGCTACTAAACATAAAAATAAAAACAGAAATAAAAATAAAAAAGCAAGTGTTAGTGAGGCTGTGGAGGAATGAGAACCCCTATGCATTGATGCTAAAAATATAAAACAGTAGAACCACTGTGGAAAATGTATGGCAGTTTCTCAGAAACATTAAAAATAGAATTATTTTATGATCCAGCACACTTTTTAGTATATTCTCAAATAACCAGAAACCAGTATTTCAACAGCTATTTGTATATCCATGTTTACAGAAGCATTATTCACAATAGTTACAAGATGAAAACAGCTCTAATGTCGACTATGGATAAATTAACAAAATATGGTATGGGTAGACAAGGGGATATTATTTAGCCTAAATAAACAGGAAAATTCTGATACATGCTACGATATAGATGAAACTTGAGGATATTATGCTAACTGAAATAAGCCAGACACAAAAAGACAAATACTATGTGATTGCATTTATATGAGGCACCTAAAGTGGTCAAATTCAGGGAAATGGAAAGTAGAAAGGTGGTGCCAGAGGTTGGAGGAAAGGAGAAACAGAACATAGCATGTAATGAATACAGAAGTTTTATTTCAGGAGATCAGAAAGTTAGGAGATGGATAAAGGTGATGGCTGTGTAACAATGTGAACGTACTTTCTGTCACTAAATTTTATGCTAAAAAATGGTCAATATGATAATTTTATGTTATGTATACATTACTATGATTTTTTTAAAAAGAAGAAAAACCAGATCTATTATTTGTGGGGCTCTAAAATGTTACAGAAAAACTTATTTAGTAGATTACATGAGGCACAAAACTTCCTAAACCACATAAACACACAAAATACTTAGTCTGAGGGTTTTTTCTTCTTCTTTTTGTAAACAACATGCTACAACCATACCACCTGTGTGTAGTTTAATGTCTGAAGTTCCCTTCCCCTATTTTACAAAATTTAGGACTCTCTTACTTCCAAAATTACTCTATGGTTTATGAATTCTGTGTGTGCATTTGATTTCTATGTGTAACACCTGCCAGCTGCTCAAGTAATTATACTCTCCATGTTACCTACATTACTATGGTTACCAAATTAAAAAAAAAAAAAACAACTATAAAACCGAAAAGAAATACAATCATATTTAGGTGTTTATAAACTATTTTAAATGTAAATTTATATCATTGCCACCTAACAGTAAATAGTAATATGTATTTTAGAAAGCAAAGTGCACATAATAAAACATTCCAAAGACAGCTATCAAACTACTACTAACTCTGTGTGTGTGTGTGTGTGTGCGTGTGTGTGTGTGTGTGTGTGTGTGTGTGAGAATGCGTGTGAGTATGTGTGTGTGTGAAGGGTCAGGAGGCCCCTAAAAAGGTTTAACTGACTATCGGGTTGTTAGTGATATGGCTCTGGCTGGATTGTAGAAAACTATTTAAGGTGTTTATCTGACAACATTTTACCCTAATAATCACATGAATACAATATATCAATTTATGAATCAGGAAATGAGTGGGATTTCTTTAGGAAATTCGAAGTTCATAAACCTTGCTGTTTATGTAAAACTATTAAGCCGCTTTTGACTTATTTTCTTTTGTAACATTTTCAATTAAATGACAGAGATGTGGAAGATTATCTTGTATGTATAATATAGCAGCCCAAATTGTAGTACTTTAGTATCAGAAGGAACAAATACTAAAGAAGAATAATGTCCCTACATCTCCTTATCTATTTACCTCCTGAGCATAAGTACTTTTCAAGAAAATAAGAGAAAGTAAATTATCAAACAAATACCAAAAGCTTGAAATATTGCTAAGGTCACCAGCTGGATTTGGACAACAGGCAGGATTTGAGAGTGGCACAAGCACATCAGTTCTAGCTTGAAGAATTATTAAATTTTATGAGCTTTGCAATTCATTCATCCCAGAAATAGTTTTTAATAATGTCTATTACTCAGGTTCAGGGCTACCACTTTGGAGACAGAGGAAGACTGCTCTCATATAATGGGGGAAATGGTCCTGGATTCTGTTCAGATCCATCACCTACTAGCCATCTAATCAGTTATTTACCAGGATTTTTTCTTCTTCACTTTTTTTATCCTCAATAAAGCATATAAACATGTGCATGAAGGAGAAGAAGAAAGAGAGAGAGACTTCACAGGGTCTGGTCATGCTGCCATCCCCTTCCTCCAGTCCATTGGATCTTGGCACTAGCCTGTGTGTCCAGCGTGTTTCAGGTAGATAAGGCTAAAAATTTGAACCATGGTCACCATGTGGAATCCAGCTTCTCGATACCGCATTGTCACTGTACCATGGCTGGCCCTACTTAACAGTTCTCTAAAGTTCATTTTCTGATCTATAAAGTCATAATATCCTCTTAGAAGACTATTAGGAGGATCATATGAGACACAGATATAAGAGCTTAGAGATGATGAGAAATACGCATGATTTTAATGTTTGATAAAAAGTAATATATTGTTAACACAATGAGTTTTGAGAATTCAATTACCAAAGAAAAAAGAAAAACAGAAAACAAAAGCAAACAACAAAATACACTTCATGACTACTTCACTTTGTTAAGAGGCAAGCATTTGATGTGAATAAAGTATAGAACTATTTGGCCATGCAGAGATTATAAGAAAGAAAATTAGATGAATGGCATAAAAGTAGGAAAACATTATTTTTTCAAAAGGATAACTGAAAAAAAGCACAGATAATCAAAGAAAGAGTAAATAGTTTCCTTTGGACTGAACACAATCTATGGAAAAGAGCTTAGAACACTGAAAAAGTAAACTGGACATAAGGCCAAATTTAAAACTATCTTGAGTTTCAAATTAAAGCACTAGAAATAAAAGCAGTGTGTGATATTCTGAATTATGCTAAAGGGGGACACCTGGCAGGAGTATATAAAAATAAATTGATGATAATGAAAGAGTATGTGGAGAAATGGTTAAAAGACAATTGCAGTAGTCCAGGCAAGAACTAATAAAGACTTAAACTAGAATAGGAATGGACCAGAAAGCAAGCATTGATAGAAGATTTGACTGCAATAGATTAATAGAAATGATCGCTAGAAACAAAGTAGAGGAAGAACTTCCAGATAACCTATGTGACTTAGAGGATGAAGATATCGCTAACATAAATGAAGAAACACATTAACTAACATGAACAGACATCAAGTGCGACAAGAAAACCCTTCCTTACAGTGAACTTCTAACGTGCTTTCACCTGCACATAGGTGTGTATATAGAGACAAGACAAATACATATACATTTTATTCACATACATACAAACACTTTAGATTTTTGCAGAAAGAATTATCCATGGATTTATTTCACATATCTTATAACTGGTATCTTGGCAGCTTTGAAACTTAATAAAAATTATTTTTAAAAATATGCAATAAAATGTAACAAACTTGTACTGAAATTATATTTGCTTTAGAAGAATGACATGCTTAGACAACGGTAGACAGATTTTCTAAAGATCATCATATTCTATTCCATTCAACTCAGACACAAAGGACTAGTTTTACTATTCATTATGTGGAGAGCTCCTTAAAATAAAAGAATGCAATAAAAAGAATGCAGTATTTTTAAAGTTCAAGCCATTCTTCTTAGTTTATACTTACTCTCTGTAACTCCCATTTTTCAATAAGATGTTCCACTTCACCGCCAAGAACCGTAGTGTTAGAGTCATTCAAAAGCAGAAATCCATTTTTTACGTCAATAACACCTGATAGTTTAACTTTAGTTCCAGGAGGTGTGTTCAGGCTGAAATAAGGGGAAAAGTGTTAAAAGTTCCTCCCCAAACTGGAATTCATTCTTATAGTATGAACTAATAAAGTTCTTCAAAATGTACTAATATCAATACTATTTTTCAGGAGACTGGATATATTGTAATAAATACGTCATCAGGGAGGAAGCCAGAAAACCAGGTGCAATATTGTAATTTTTCAGCTTAACAACCAAGAAATGAGCTTCAGTTTCCATATATTAAAGAAAATGAAGAAAAGAAAAGAACGTGGACAGTAATAATCACATCTCACAAAGTTGTGGTAAAGACAAACAGAATAAAAGTCCTTTCTCAACTATGTCACACTACACAAATGTAACTACCATGTTTTTTCCACTGAGTACTGGCTCTAGATTACAAAAATATACTATAGTATAAAATTAAATTTCAATACAGAAAAAAATAATTGACCAGTAATAATCTTGAACTGTAACACCTACCTGAACTTTATTTTTTTTCTTTTTTTCTTTCTGTCTTTCTTTATTTATTTCTATTTATTTATTTATTTTTTGGAGAAATTTTCACTATAGGGCACATGCGCTCGCCAGACAGACAGAGAGAGACATAGAGACAGAAAGCGAGAAATCGCCCCCCGGGGGGATGGTCACGCCACAATCCCTTCTCCTCTGTTCTCTTCTCGGGATCTTGGGCACGCACCCACACGCGCCCAGCGTGAGTTTTAAGCCACCGGTCCAATATGCGAACCGCGGTCAACTACGTGGGCGTCCAGTGACATAGCCATTACGCTAACTGCTGGTTCCCCCTGAACTTTATTAATCCATACAAAATAATGTTCTTTTTTTGTTAACCATCTAGTTAAAGACTGATAGCTATTTATATAATAACTTTAAAAGAACTTTTTACACACTAACTTTACATAGTATTTAAATGCTAATTTTAAAAGACCTTTTTCTATAGTAACTTAACATTACCAGATTTGGGCAAGTATTCCACCATTACTCCTTTTACAAAATTAAGAAATGAGATATTTGACCTCTTACCAACCTTTTTGTAAAGGAAAAAATTAAAAAGTAAGAAATGCATTTTGCCATAAAAGTTTGCTCAAAAACATATATACTGAACCCCACCCCATCTCTTCCCTTGTGCAGTAAAGGTTAAAGTACTCCAAATAAAACTGCTAAAGTAAAGACTGCCCTAAAGCACTTAGAATAAATTAGAGAGTTATTCTGAATTTGGGCCAGCACATAGCCTAGTGGTTAAGAAAGCTGGATCCCACATGGCAGACTGGTTCAAATACTAGCCGGGGTACCAGGGCAGCATAAAAAACACACTGGGCATATGTGTGTGTTTTTATGTACCCAAAACCCTGACAAGATGGAGAAAATTCAGAAGGGTGTGTGCTCATACCCCACTGGGTTGCTTCCTCCTCCTCTTTCTCCCTGGCAAGGGCTTGTACCCTCTGGTGGTAGGGGTGGGGAGGAAAAACTATTCTGAAATGGCTTCACACTGTTCACATTTTAAAATGTGAAATTCACTATATACTGATAAATACAACAGCCAATTAGTGAGAGTGTTAATATCAGTGGTCTTTTTGAAAGTAGGTGGTTAATAAGAGAGTTTAGCAAGAAGAAACAGAGCATGCCTATTTTTAAAGCTTCATGAAGAGTAAAACAGATTATATACTAAAAATTATTCGGTACACTATATGTGAGTGTGTGTGTATATATACATTTTATATGTAAATAACATTGCAACGAAGCTATTAAATAATTCTGAGGGCGCAGCCTTGTAGACCAAAAGTTAAGTGCTATGTATAGGGAGCCAGATCCCACATGGCTGACCACAATTAGAATCTCAGCCCTGGTGGCTTGGAAAACATGCTAGATGAGTATACATCTGCATGCCCAAAATCCTACCAAAAGGAGAAGTGGAGGAAAAAGGATTGCGCTGTGGTCACACCCCATAAGGAGTTGCTCACTCACTCACACATGTCCTCTCTCTCTGGCAAGCACACATGCTCTCTGGCAATATATTTAAAATAATAATAATAAAATAAAATATTATTCTGAGAACCCCAAGCTTAATCATTCTTGGCCATTATTTACAACTTGTCATAAACACCCTTGCTATCCTAACCCTTAAGCAGAGAGCTCTGTGATAATAAATAGTAAACTTAGAACAATGCTGTCAGACTTCAAGCTCAGTAACAACTAAATACAGTTAAATTAAGCGAAGAAGTTTCTTCCCAAGTTCAGGCAATTAGCAAATTCAGATTTCCATAACTGTATAGTTCTTTTAGGGATAAATAAAAAGATATGCACTATGGACCCTGGGATGCTGTATTCTTTACCTTTAAAGAAATTATTAATAAATTATATCACTTATGTAAGATCTATCTATTTTTATTCTTCAAAACCTCTTCTAGTCAATAATTTCATACAAGTAGCTAAAATTTTTAAAATGCAATCAAAATGTAGGGATGCACTAAATTAAATACAAAAAACTATATAAGGACTTAAAAATTGGATGTAAATTATAGGAATATTTAAAAATAATAACATAACTTTAAAACTACAACTAATCCATAAATGAATGATAAACTAAATTTTGTACAAAATAACTGCATCCTTCCCAAACTCTCCCTAATAGTCTAATTTTTTGTGTACGGATCTACAATTTCATTAGAGTAACTGAGAAGAGACCCACCAGAATAAATCCAGTTCTATTCCCAGAAAAGGAAATTAAGAACTAAAATATGAATATAATTCTAACTACATTATCTTTAGGACCATAATTAACTCTTATTCAGAGAGTACATTGGGTCATTGGAAAAGTCATGATGCATTTTTGCATAGAAAAATAGATTAATTAATACATCATGACTTTTCTAACAACCCAATATTTTGGTTTAAAAGCTATTAATATTTTTATTAGGATGCTGAGGTACCTCTAGTCTCTATTCATTGCAATTAAAAAACAAAACAAGGGAACCAGCAGTTAGCATAATGGCTATGTCACTGGACTCCCACGTAGTTGACCGCAGTTCGCGTCCTGGACCCGGTGGCTTAAAACTCACGCCAGGCAAGTGTGCGTGCGTGCCCAAGATCCCGAGAGGAGAAAGGAGGAGGAGGGATTGTGGCGTGGCCATCCCCGCTGGGGGGTGATTTCTCGCTTTCTATCTCTCTGTCTCTCTCTGTCTGGCAAGCGCACGCACCCTATAGCAAAAACCTCTCAAAAAAAAAAATTCCTATTTAATGTCATACATCCATATCAGCACCTGGTTTATTCTATCTACAGTGTTTTTACCTTCCTTCCAAGATAACCACAAGCCAAAATGATTTTGAAAAGTCTTCTGATTGTTCACGTGTAAGAATAGTTTCTAAGTCATCATTTTAATAGCACTAAACGTGTACATGCTACTTCGGTATGAGAAAAAGTGTGTGAGTAAATCATTTTTTCCACTGTCAAATTATTCAATACAGAAAAAGGCAATAGAAAGCATTGGGCAGGACCCTTCATTCTAAGCTAACCTTGTGTTTTTATTTACCTCAAAAAATACACAGCTGTAAATCAGAGCATGAGCCATTTTATGGCAAGCCTGCATTCTGGGTCATGCGTGACTCCCTTTTTGGGAAGCTGATTAGGAAAGGCTATTTCTCCACATAAGTAAGAGTCCTACTAGTCTTCAAAAAAAAGGACATAATCACAAAGCCCTCCCCATACTACTTTTGTAAATGGAGATCAACATATTAGATAAATATGTATTTGATCTTCTGAGGTAGAGGCCTCCTCTACCAGGGCAATATGGAAAAGTCCCACCAGATTAAATCGGGTTCTATTTAAATTAAAACAGGTTCTCTCTAATTGAGGGTTAGATTATGCAAAGCTGTCCATGGCCATTCATTCTGTAAATTATGAGTAATGGCCAAGAATGATTAAGCTTGATGTTCTTAGAATTTTTTTTTTTTTTTTTTTCAACCAAAGAGCATGTGTGCTCACCAGAGAGAGAGAGAGATAAAGGACGAGCATGTGTGCTCACCAGAGAGTGAGAGAGATAAAGGAAAACCCCCCATTGGGGTGTAGCCAGTGCAATCCTTTTTCTCCATTTCTCCATCCCAATAAGATTTTAGGCATGCCCAGGTACACATAACCAGCATGTTTTTCTAGTCACCAGGGCTAAAATTCCTATTGTGGTCAGCCATATGGGATCTGGCTCCCTATGTAGACACTGGTTGAGGGAAAGAAAAAAAGGGAAATCACTCAGGATGATATACAAGGCCTCAACCTGCTACATTTCCTCCCACATAACACTATTCCAACTCACCTAGGCCCTACACAGTGTCTTTGCCTGTGCTGGCCACCTCAACCCTCCCTGTCCCTATCACCACACCTTTCTCAAAACACCTACTTGTATTTTAAGACTTGTTTCTGGCTCCCCAAGGTAGAGATAATTTTATGGACTCCTAGTCCTTTCATTTCATATATTCATTACAATAATTCTATGCCAATATGTCTATTTCATTAGTATATAAGCTATGGGAGGCAAAATCTAAACAAATCCTATTTACTGTTCTACCTCCAGCATTAGATTCTTCTATGTAGAAGCACAGTAGAATCCAAATATTTGATAAAAGCTTGCTCGGGGATAATAGTACAGTCTAAGAGCTTATATTAAAGTTAAAATGCTCAAAGGACTCAAAGCAGCAAAAACACACCTGTAAAATGTCTAAGAAGAGAAAAAAATTGGGGGGAGGGGTACTACAGATATGTGATGAAAGTTGCTATAACACCCCAGAAAAAGAGCTCAAACTGGCCTAATGCAGACACTGAGGATAAAGACACTCTCTCTCTATTCTCATTGCTTTTCTCCATTCCAATTGGCATGACTCTAAAAGGCTCCCATAAAAATAGCCAAAAATAAGATTTCAAAAATAATTCCTTAGGGAGTTCCCTCTCATCTTAGGAAGTGGGGTGGCGCATACATGTTCCTGCCTTCCATTATTTCCTAAAAAGAAAACCTCACTAGCCTATACAACTTTACTAGAATATTAAAATGGACACTCTATTATACACGCAATTAGCTAGTGAGCTAACTATCAAGGTACAACTTTACTAGAATATTAAAATGGACACTATTATACACGCAATTAGCTAGTGAGTTAATTATCAAGAAAGACACCATAACATACTGCATTTTTTAAAATTCTAGGTTTTTTCTGAACCAACAGAATGACCTAAAATTTTCTAGCAAAATTGAAAACATTCATTTTATGCAAGAATACCTTAAATTTTACTTTTACAATAAACATTGAAGAGTAACCGACTTCTGTGATTTCTTCTGAAAAATTAAAACATATGCTTAAGAGTTCATTCTCCTTTTTTCACAGTTCTAAAAATCCATTTTGAATAACACTTTCAAACATACTATAACAAACAGACAAAATAAAGTCCCAATCACCTTATTTTTGACATATAACTGAATTCTACTGCTGTGCAACTTATATGACCGTCAGTCATCTGCAAACGCAGCATCCTTGGTGCAGCCTGAGACTCCTCATTATCCTTCGGTGCAGCAACATTACGAATTTTTTGAATTTGCAGAACACACGGACCTTCAAGCTGTTGAAATACAAAATAATAAAAATTACTTTCTAATCATGGTTGTGTTTTCACTTATTATGTTTCTCTTTTCCTTAATGCTTACAATTTACAAAAATAACTTAAATGTTGTTCAAAACGGAAATTATATCAGGTAGGATTTTGTTTGTTTTTCATATTTAAAGATAAAACTTCATAAAGGCCTTTTAAAGAATTTTTATTTGGTTTTTATAATTCTGAATTTATTTTCAGACAGTAATGAAAATTTACTTAGGAAAATAAAACTATATTTTTACTGGAAGGCATATTAATTGATATTTTTAGCTTTTGTGTTCTAAATTATTCAAATACCACCTACTTCTCCCCTCATATACATTAAAAATGTCTGGAAATAATGAAGTTGGCAATTTTTTAAGGAACATCAACTTTATGGCAGTTGTTCAAAAGAATAATTTCTGCTCAGACATCAAGTTTAAAGTGCACCCTCTTCTGGTATAAATGAAGAACACAATACTCCAAAATTTAAAGTTCACACTGAAGTATGAGCTACAGTGTACTTATTTTCACAATTCTCTTTTTAAATGATATTATTGAGTCATCAGAAGTCACAACACACTTTTGCACAGGAAAATGTGTAAATGATATTATTGAGTCATCAGAAGTCACAAGACAAAAAATTTGCACAGGAAAATGTGCCATGACTTTTCTGACCCAATAAATCTAATACTGTGTTATACGTGTTGGCAGTATAAAGAAGAAATGTTCTCTCTGGTCAAATTTTAATCAAATACAAAAAATAAAATTGGGCTAATTAAAGATAAATGTTTTATTTAATAAAATTTTATGGTAAAGCTAAGAAATGGTAGTAAAATCTGCTTACATGTCTGAGAAATACATTTAACATACAGTGATCATTTTGACATCATAAAAATATTTTTACTATTGTAATTTAAAGGGAAAAGACAAATTTTAATATAATTTTAATATGCTATAACATAAAATATTTCTATGCATATTAATTATATTTTCAATAGAGTAAAATATGAAAAGATTGACATTTATACTTAATTTCCAAAGTTAGCATGTATCAAGTGAAAAATTTATACTCCATATTTTGCTTGCATGGAATAATTTTTTTTTATAAATTTAGTACTAGAAAGTATGATTAGAAAAAAATAGTTTAAAATTTTATGTAATTTTCAGTTATGAAGAAAGTTCATTTAGTACTAGAAAGTATGATTAGAAAAAAAAATTTTATGTAATTTTCATTATGAAGAAAGTTACAAGTCCCATATCTTTAACAAACACAGATAAGCTGGTAATTCAGAATGTATATTTTCTTTAGCTTTTGTTAATGACATTTAAAAGACATTTAAATTAAATAATTAAAGTTACAGTTATTGCAATGTTCATTACTCTGTTTAGTTTTTCTTTCTTTTTTTTTTTATTTTGCCAGAGGGCGTGTGTGCTCATCAGAGAGATGTAGACCGAGAGAGAGAGAGAGGGAAGGGGAGAAAGTACCCCTTCCCATGGGGAATGGCCATGCCACAATCCTCTCTCCTCCATTTTTTCCTCCTGTCAAGATTTTGGGGATGCACACATATGTGCCCAGAATGTTTCTAAAGCCAGTAGGTTTGGGTTGGCCATTTCAAAATACTGTCTACTAATTTCAAAATACAAGTTATCATTTGGTCTAAATTCTCTGAACACAATGTAGCTAAATTAGAAATCTATAACAAAAAATAAAACAATTACCATATTCTAAAATAAAAACAAAGAAAAAATCATAAGATACACTAAAAAATTCTTAATACTGAATGATAATGAAAATATCGCTGCTTGGCTAATTATTTTCTAGTACTTTAATAATCATAATTTATTTAGTACTTACTAGATATATCAGAAAATGTGGCAGGACCTTTATACACATTATTTAATTTATCTCCAGAATTGTAAAGTACATTGCGATCATTTGTGTATCTTAAATGAGAAAACCGAGGGCAGAGGGTAAAATACTCAGCCAGAGGCCACATATCTAGTAAGAGACAGAATCAAAATGCAAATTTGGTTCTCATACCAAAGCATGCCTTTCTTCTACTGTGCTTTCTAAAGCCATAATAAAATTTGTTGCATTATAAAAACAAATGTAGGCATAAAGCACAACAAGAATATTAGTCTTTAAAAATTAACTCTGCTCAGAAAAGATCAGGACAATTAGAAGAGAAGTGCCACTTGAGTTGGGACTTGAGGAATAAACAGAAGTCAGCCTGGCAGCTGAGGGAAGGTCATACAAGTACTGTAATGACAACAGACATGAGGAAAGTTCGCAGTTACCTCATCTTGAAAATAAAACAAGAGTGGTAATAACTTCTATTTTCAATGCTGTTCTGAAGATTGTATAGATAATACAAACAAGTTATTTATAATGCTAGCACAGAGGATATTTTCACCTAACGAATGATAGAACAAGAGGATGACATTGATGATGATTTTACTAAAAACCAGGGTTCTCCTAGGTAAGTTTATGGACTTGGACCAAAAATGATCAAGAAGAAAGCCGGTCAAAAGCATCAAGCATCAAGGATATTGAAAGAAATATCTGGGAAGCTAGACCCTTGTCTCGATCTCAACATGTGTGTGTGTGTGTGTGTGTGTGTGTGTGTGTGTGTGTGATACACACACATACACAAAACAAGAGAGTTTAAGGTGAAAAAATAATTATAGCAAAAAAAAAAAAAAAACGTTTCTGGATCACAAATATGGTAGTATACTTACTAAAAGATCTAAAAGTATTTGCTCCTTAGGAAAGTTTTCTTTGCTTTTTTTTAAGGTTTTTGCCATAGGCTGTGTGTGCTCACGGGAGAGGAGAGAGGCAGTGAAAAAGTGTGAAATCACCTCCAGGGGAGATGACCATGCAACAATCCCTTCTTCTCCATTCCTCTCCTGGGACTTTGGGCATGCATGCACACACACCCAGCATGATTTTCAAGCAGCCAGGACAGGACTCAAACCGTGGCCAGCCATGTGGGAGTCTAGTGCCTTAACCATTATACCACCTGCTAGCTCCTCCTTAGCAATTTTTAAAATGTTTTTAAAATATCTGGTAGTTAAGACATGGATAACATAATCTTAAATAGTTTTTACCAAACTTGAGATTCCCAGAAAGTTAAAAACTACCAATTTATACATCAAAATAATAGCACATATAATTTGCTCTCACTCATCATTCAGAGAAATTACAGCAAATGAGATACAAGGAAGGTACTGGGGGATGCCCAGTGAAAAGTAATACTTTGTCCAGAGTATCATTTGCCAGTTTCCACATTATTCCTCTTCATTTTTTATTCTCTGAGAGAACTTTTTTAAAAATGTAAGGCAAATAGTTTATTTTTCAATAATCAGAAGAGTGTTTACCTAATATATTGCATTTTGTGTAGTCTTTTTTGAACTCCATTGAGTCCTATTAATAATTACTGATAAGCACTTGCAAATAAAACACAGAATCAGTTTCAGTATCTATTTTTGTGAAGCTTAGCCTACATATTTAATTTCAATAACTCACTGATAAGTTTTATTACTTAGTAAAGACTACATGGACATATAGGAAACATGATATGATTTTATTAAAATTGAAACTTCATATTTTTTCAATGATTTTTATTTTTAAAAATATCCTACTTCTAAACTGTGTGCAAGTTAGAAGGCATTCACTGACTTTGAATTTTAAGGCAGTGCAGCCATCTTGTGGTTTATGTTGGTATTGCCGAATCCATAAGTCGGTCATTTATTTCTACTTGAAAAAATTAGGTCTGGGTCATAGTTTTATATTTAAAAAGGCATACACAATCTGTCAGTTCTGGAACTTAGAAAAAATGAGCACATAACTAAAGGCCTTTCCCATTATAGCTCTACAGCAACACTTAACATTCTCACATTTCTATTTCATGAAAAATGGTCTATTTTACATCTAATCATTTTACATATAAACTACTGGGTTGTTGGAAAAGACATTTTTGCATAGAAAAACATAGAAACTCTACATCATGACTTTTCCAACAACCCAATAGATACATTATCATTTAGAATGCTTTAAAAGATGGGAGCAAGACAGTAGTCAACAGTATGTGCAATGCTTTGCAAGGATGACCCAGAGGGAGGCTCCAGGTTCGTGTCCAGACACCTCCCTGAGTATGCCAGGCACACACATGCCTGTGATCCAGACTAGCTGAAACTGGAGGTAGTTTGCAGTGTCAAGATTCTATTGAGAATGCTGTATCTTTGACACTCTGGATTCTATTGAGAATGCTGTATCTTTGACACTTTGGCTTATAGAAGAAATAAACTTTTTAAAAAAAATTTCAAAGGATAAAATGTGGCACAGAATAATCTAGGTCAGTAAGTTTTAAGTTGTTATTTATTATTGTTCGTTACATTCAAAGGAAATCTTTAAAAGCCACTGTGGGAAACTTTTAGAAACAAAAATGTTTGGAGAGAACAGAAGGAGCAGAGAAGGGTTTCATCACTACTATCTTGAGTACTCAGAGCAGAGATAAATTCTCAGAATTTCTAATGACATATACAGAGAAAATGGAAAATCAATAAGCCAGAAAGCTTCAAAGTTCTCTTCAGTAAACCAGTGGAAGGATGCTGACACACTGCTTTGACATTACTTACATTTCCTATGGAGAACTGTTGCACTCATCAGGCCTATCAAAGACTGCTGCCTGACTTGGGGTTGGATAACCTAGTGCTTTTCTAAGTACACTTCCCAGACCGGCAAAATCAACATCTTCTGAAAATTTGTTCAAAATACAAACTCTCAGGAGCTTGCCAAGACCTACAGAATTAGAAACTCTGGCAGAGGCAGGGATGTTTAGGGAACAGCAAGCTGTATTTCAGCCGAGTTCCAGGGCAATTCAGGTGAATTGATAATTCACCGGAGTCTGAGAACGTACTACTATAACCATAAAATGAAACAGCTTAAAACAAACAAACAAACAAACAAAACAACTGGAGAAGACTTTGAGAACAATAAAGATGAAAGAAAAGTCTGAGACTCAGAATAACCAAAACAACCAAGATAGATGGCTTTAGCAAAAGAAACTGGTGGCAGTGACATTTACAAGTCTTCAAGTATATGAAGAATTATTCACAAAGGAAGATAACCATATGTTTTTCATCTCCCCTGGGGGAATATAAAAAAGACATTACAGATTTTAAGTAACAAAAGAAGAAATTTAGGTAAAAATAAAAAGTTTGCTGTCGCAGTTTGTTGTTAAATTAAAATGAATTTCTGAAGGTAACTATAGAAACTTCATTTCTGAGTATCTACCTCAAAAACTAGAGATGATTAGAAGAAACGCTCTCTTAAATGCTGCCTCTGTGCTGCAGTGGTTGAACACTATGCTTTGTAAGCTGTATCATGTTTTAAGTACTGGCCTGGTAAGTTGAAAAACATACACGTATGCATGCTCCAAATCCTGACAGGATGGAAAAATGGAAAAAAAAAGATTGTGGCATGACCACATCACATTGGGAGGTGCTTTTTTCTCTTTCTCCCACTTCGGCAATTAAAAAAAAAATTTTTAAAGAAAAAGAAACCTTCTCTTATGGTTCTTATCAGCCAAATGACTGCCAACTATTGCACAAATGAACTAATATTTAGAAAATCTGAAAAAATATTACATTTCAGAATTTTTGGAATCTAAGGTACAGAAACTATTTAAACAGTGCTAAAATAATAATCTGAATTCGTACATGAAATATATCCACTGAAGTATTTCTTTAAATTATAATATTTCTTTAATTATTGATAATTAAACTATAGATTATCTATAGTTCCTTCTATTCTAAGGAACTACTATATTCCTTAATAGTTCAAAAAGAGACCAATAGCACAAATAAATTCTTGACTGATACAATTTATATGTATTTTCAAATAAAAAGAAGAAATTAAATATAAATGAATAGGAAATAAAAGACTCATCAGTTGATAGCTTAAAACAATGTATCCTTGTAGACTAGCAGGTGGCATAGCAGTTAAGGCACTAGACTACCCCATGGTTGTCCAGTTTGACTGCTGGACCTGGCAGCTTGAAAATCATGCCGTTCCACCTGTGTGCTGCCCAAAGTTCCAGGAAGAGAACGGAAGAGAAGGGATTGAAGCATGGCAATCCCCACATGGGGTGACTTGTCACTTTCCTTCTCACTGCCTCTCCCTCTCTCTAACGAATGCCCTATGGCAAAAAAAATGTATGTATATATATATAGGGGCCAGCAAGTGGCATGGTGGGCATGGTGGTTGAGAACACTGGACTCCCACATGGCCAGTAGTGGTTCAAGTCCCGGAGCTGGTTTTCCATCCTCCCCCACCCCGACACACACACACGCACACACACTCACACACACACTGTGTCCCTCTGGTCAAATTAAAAAATAAATAAAATTTAAGTTGTTATTTATTATTGTTCGTTACATTCAAAGGAAATCTTTAAAAGCCACTGTGGGAAACTTTTAGAAACAAAAATGTTTGGAGAGAACAGAAGGAGCAGAGAAGGGTTTCATCACTACTATCTTGAGTACTCAGAGCAGAGATAAATTCTCAGAATTTCTAATGACATATACAGAGAAAATGGAAAATCAATAAGCCAGAAAGCTTCAAAGTTCTCTTCAGTAAACCAGTGGAAGGATGCTGACACACTGCTTTGACATTACTTACATTTCCTATGGAGAACTGTTGCACTCATCAGGCCTATCAAAGACTGCTGCCTGACTTGGGGTTGGATAACCTAGTGCTTTTCTAAGTACACTTCCCAGACCGGCAAAATCAACATCTTCTGAAAATTTGTTCAAAATACAAACTCTCAGGAGCTTGCCAAGACCTACAGAATTAGAAACTCTGGCAGAGGCAGGGATGTTTAGGGAACAGCAAGCTGTATTTCAGCCGAGTTCCAGGGCAATTCAGGTGAATTGATAATTCACCGGAGTCTGAGAACGTACTACTATAACCATAAAATGAAACAGCTTAAAACAAACAAACAAACAAACAAAACAACTGGAGAAGACTTTGAGAACAATAAAGATGAAAGAAAAGTCTGAGACTCAGAATAACCAAAACAACCAAGATAGATGGCTTTAGCAAAAGAAACTGGTGGCAGTGACATTTACAAGTCTTCAAGTATATGAAGAATTATTCACAAAGGAAGATAACCATATGTTTTTCATCTCCCCTGGGGGAATATAAAAAAGACATTACAGATTTTAAGTAACAAAAGAAGAAATTTAGGTAAAAATAAAAAGTTTGCTGTCGCAGTTTGTTGTTAAATTAAAATGAATTTCTGAAGGTAACTATAGAAACTTCATTTCTGAGTATCTACCTCAAAAACTAGAGATGATTAGAAGAAACGCTCTCTTAAATGCTGCCTCTGTGGTGCAGTGGTTGAACACTATGCTTTGTAAGCTGTATCATGTTTTAAGTACTGGCCTGGTAAGTTGAAAAACATACACGTATGCATGCTCCAAATCCTGACAGGATGGAAAAATGGAAAAAAAAAGATTGTGGCATGACCACATCACATTGGGAGGTGCTTTTTTCTCTTTCTCCCACTTCGGCAATTAAAAAAAAAATTTTTAAAGAAAAAGAAACCTTCTCTTATGGTTCTTATCAGCCAAATGACTGCCAACTATTGCACAAATGAACTAATATTTAGAAAATCTGAAAAAATATTACATTTCAGAATTTTTGGAATCTAAGGTACAGAAACTATTTAAACAGTGCTAAAATAATAATCTGAATTCGTACATGAAATATATCCACTGAAGTATTTCTTTAAATTATAATATTTCTTTAATTATTGATAATTAAACTATAGATTATCTATAGTTCCTTCTATTCTAAGGAACTACTATATTCCTTAATAGTTCAAAAAGAGACCAATAGCACAAATAAATTCTTGACTGATACAATTTATATGTATTTTCAAATAAAAAGAAGAAATTAAATATAAATGAATAGGAAATAAAAGACTCATCAGTTGATAGCTTAAAACAATGTATCCTTGTAGACTAGCAGGTGGCATAGCAGTTAAGGCACTAGACTACCCCATGGTTGTCCAGTTTGACTGCTGGACCTGGCAGCTTGAAAATCATGCCGTTCCACCTGTGTGCTGCCCAAAGTTCCAGGAAGAGAACGGAAGAGAAGGGATTGAAGCATGGCAATCCCCACATGGGGTGACTTGTCACTTTCCTTCTCACTGCCACTCCCTCTCTCTAACGAATGCCCTATGGCAAAAAAAAATGTATGTATATATATATATAGGGGCCAGCAAGTGGCATGGTGGGCATGGTGGTTGAGAACACTGGACTCCCACATGGCCAGTAGTGGTTCAAGTCCCGGAGCTGGTTTTCCATCCTCCCCCCCCCCGACACACACACACGCACACACACTCACACACACACTGTGTCCCTCTGGTCAAATTAAAAAATAAATAAAAGAAGTTAAATAAAGTAATTCTTTAATATGTATATACATACATAAATTTTTTTTCCTTGTATTTAAAAAAGAGATCACTTTACTGGATCCACAAAGAAACAGAACATGGGGGACCAGCAGTTAGTGAAATTGCTATGTCGCTGGACTCCCATGTAGTTGACCGCGGTTCGAGTCCCAGACCTAGTGGCTTAAAACTCATGCCGGAAGCCTGTGCGTGCGCGGCCAAGATCCGAGAATGGAGGAGAAGGGATTGTGGTGCGGCCATCCCCCTTGGGGGGTGATTTCTCGCTTTCTGTCTCTCTGTCTCTCTCTGTCTGTCTGGTGAGCGCACGTGCCCTATAGGAAAAACCTCTCCAAAAGAAAAAAAACAAAACATGGAAAAAGGTTATAACGTGAATATGTATATACATGTGTAATGCAATAACCAAATGTTCTGAATGTTCCCTCATAATCTCATACATTAGTATGAATAAATTCACTATGTAAATTCAGTAATAGTTTATTAAGGTAACTAAAATAAAAACGTAAGAAAAGGTCCTTGCCCTGAACTCTGATGATATCTGGTCTTACATGTAAAATAAATTTGTCACAGTTATAATTCCTGAAGCAAGTTTTTAGTTTTGGCTTTTTGGGGTTTTTTTTAATGTTGAGAAGCCACCAAAGCTAGCTATTATTTATGCATGCAGGAGCCAGCAGATGGTGTAACAGTTATGTTGCCGGATTCCCACATGGCCAACCACTGTTCGAGTCCTGGACCTGGCAGCTTGAAACTCACACCAGGCACATGTGCATGCATGCCTAAAATCCTGGGAGGAGAATGGAGGAAAAGGGATTGATTGTGGTGTGGCCATCTCCACTGGGGGATGATTTCTCACATTCCCTCTCACTGTCTCTGTCTCTCTTTCTTTCCCCAGTGAGCGCATGCACCCTAAGGTAAAAACCTAAGGAAAAAAAAAAAAAAACACACACACACAAAAATGGATGCAGGATGTCACCACAACTGTAAATTTATAATCTGTCCACTTTTAAAATATTTTGCAGTTGCAGTCTTTACTGACAAAAAGCAATTCCAGTAATCTACTAGATGTGCATAGTTACTATAGTCGACATAATTTAGGAAGCAAGTTTTCTTTACCTTTTCTACCTTTCCACCATTGATGTCACTGGGAAGGAATTTCTTGCCAATTGTTCTCAGGTCTGTCTAAAATAAAAATATTACTATTAAAAAAGAAATATAGAAAAAAGTAAATTTAAATATAATTTCAAGAACAAAAGGAGAAACTAATATTTTGAAACAAGAAGTAAATAAGTGTCTTTTAACTAACTGTCCAATTCATACAAATAATCTTTTCAAACAACATAGTCTCATAAGTGAGTTCTTTAAAGTGTGCCAGTAAGGTAAACAGTAACCCTTAAGGCAATTTTAAGTATATTTCTTTAGATAACCTTCAAATTTATTAGCTCTTCTCTATTGAAATCTGAAGCTTGGTTTTATGTAAATTATGCTCTTACTAATGCCGCAATCCAAAATCAAATGTAGGTTTGAATAGATAAGCATAGTATATTTTTAACAACTGAATCACTCCTAATCTTCATGTACAGAGACATGAAAACACATTATTCTACAGGCTATGTAATCGATAATATAACAAAGCTACATAACATAGAACTATCCAAAGGAACAATACTATTTTAATAGCAAAGAAGATTTAGGAAGACTTAGAGGTAGACTTTACAATAACAAAATTTGTTCTATTTGCTTAAACAAATTACAGAAATAGAAACTGGGGAACAAATGACTATTAAAATCCAGAAGTATGTGCAACTCGAGAACTCAAAACATAGAAAAAGAAAATATAAGGCCTAATGTAAAAAAAGCTATAGAATTTGTGATATAAAGAGAACTTCAGCTACATGGTCTACCTAAAAAACAGAACTACTAAGGATTAAGTCCTCTTTAGAAAATGAAAACATAAAATAATGGCAAAAAATTTGTGCAGAGGAAAAAAAATATCAGCACTCATGAGAAAGGTCCAATTACTTAACCTAAGAAATTTTCTTAATGCTTGAGGGAGCAAAATTCAAGTAATAACTAAAGTTACACTGTTTCATTATTTCTGAAAATATAGTAAACGGGCTCATCAACTCAAGTACAAAATAAAAGAAAATAGATTTAAAGTGCATTTAATCACATAATTATGAGAGAAATTTTTGTTAGACTTAAGGAGAAAATACTAAACAATCAAAGTTACTACAAAGTGAAATGAATATATATAGAGAGAGGTAGCATAATCTTTGAACAACTACAATAATAGAATACTTGCTTGTGTGAAATATGCACATGAATAAGAAACAAGTATATAAAATTTTTCCTAGTCTTTTACTACTATGGTTCATAATTTTTTCTCAATGTAATGCAAGGATCACTCCTTAATTAAAACTCACTAAACAGAACTACTAGGCAAACTAAGTATCAAACAAGTCCAAATACTTGTTTAACAATGTTCATGCTCTTTGCAGCCTCAAGATGGCAACACGGTAAAAAGAACTACAAACAATACATTAGGCTGTATGTCATTTCACTTTGAAAACATCAAGTAATATACAGGTAAAGAAATTCGCTTTTTCACACTAGCCTTCCCTGGATGAGGATTGTTTCGAAAACTAAATGCTAATACATGACTTGCACACTCAGTGAAGGTTAGCTATCATGCTTATTTTAATGACCATAAAAGTTACATTTTGTTATCATCTGAGCCTATATTGACTAAATAACCATTAAGTCAATAATGTAACTAAGACTGTAGTTCACAAAAGTACAGGAATTATTTTGAAATCACTTGAAAGCTGAGTTGTCAGAGCTAAAAAGAAACACTACATTCAAAGTTTACATAACTTTTAAAGTTCTATACACACGTATAAGGAATGTTATTTCAATGTACTTTTTTAGCAAGAGGAAAATTATCTACCAGATCTTTAAACATTCTAAATTCAAAGCCAATGTATAACTACTACAAAGGCAATGTTATTATTCAGATGCCATTATATCAGGATTTCTAAAACAATGACTAGACCCAATAATATTTTTAAATTGAACACACACAAAAAATGATGCAGGAGAAATAGTTGGACTATAAAAATTTTGTTGATTTTCAAGGCATTTACTACATACTCATACACGATTCCTATTAATTCAAGTCAATTCAAGAGAATGTCTATTTGGCAAGTAACTTTATAGTATACAGACTCTTAAGAGAAATAAAAATATATAATGTTTTCAATTTCTTACTAATAGTTAGTATTCAGTAATTTAAGATTGGACTATCACTTAATTGTTTTCTAAATAATCCAGGTGTGTTAACTCCAAACTACATGCTTGATTTCAATGATAATTTTTCATATTTTTAATATCCTCCTATTTCACAAAGTAAAAAAATCAAGAATACTCCTTTTCAACATAAAAATCTAAAAATAGGGCCAACTTATAGCTGGTAGTTAGAAGAGCTAGCTCCCTCATGACCAACCATGGTTTGAATCCAAGCCCTAATAGCCTAAAAAATAATCTGGGCACACATGCATATATGCTCAAAATCCTGATGGAATATGGAACTGGAAGAAAAAGGAGTCCTACATGACTATTTCCAGTGGAAGGTACTTCCTTCTCTAGCATGCACAAGTTCCCTCCAGCAAATAAAAGAAAAAACTGCCTAGGGAATATTGATCCCTCCAGCAAATAAAAGAAAAAACTGCCTAGAGAACACTGACATTTATAGGCATAAATAACATACATAATTTTCAACTAATTTAAAAAATGTAGTCCTTTGCTTATTAAAAACCTAAACATTCTGCTCAGAAACAAACAAAAGGATCTTGGTGGTCTAACTGAAAAAATATCTAAGAAGCTAAAAGAAAATGACTTGGAGTTCAGAACATAAATTCTATCTGTTTAGACCCAAGTAAAATTTTAAAAATATAAATTTCAGTGATACTTGTACACTTATTTAAACTTTAAAAATTCATGGCACCCACCACTTTTGCTTTATGTTATATTGATTGTACAGTAATATGAGGAATTTGTCAAATAATCATTCTTTTCTGAATTTATTTATCATTTATCACAATATATAAATTTGTTAATAGACTACTATAGTAAGTCAACACAAAAAATCTACCAGAGGCAGGATCCAGCAGATGGCATAATGGTTATATCGCTGGACTCCCACATAGTCGATTGTGGTTCAAGTCCTGAGCCCAGAGGCTTAAAGCTCATGCCAAGTATGTATGCCTGTGTGCCCAAAATCCCAAGAGGAGAATGGAGGACAAGGGATTATTGCGTGGCCATCCTCCCTGGAGGGGTAATGTCTTACTTTCTGTCTGTCTGGCAAGCACACACATCCTATAGCAAAAAAAAAAAAAAAGAAGAAGAAGAAAAAAACTGTCTTAAAAAAGCGACAAGGCTAAATATAGGATTGAAAAAAAAATTGGTTAGTACAATTTTATTTCAAACAACTCTTCCAACTCTTTTTAAAAATTCAAAAGCCAATCCAATTATGGAAAAATATGGTGACATTCACCAAAATATTAATACTTAAAGTAGGTTTAGCTTTCTCATTTGCTTTTCTGTATTTTTCTGCAATGTTCTATAAAAATTATTACTTTTAGGGATCAGCAGTTAGCATAATGGCTATGTCACTAAATTCCCATGTAGTCGACCGCAATTTGAGTCCTGGACCCGGGGACTTAAACTCACGCCAGGCATGTGTGCGTGCATGCCCAAGATACCGAGAGGAGAACGGAGGAGAAGGGATTGTGGCATGGCCATCTCCACTGAGAGGGTGATTTCTGGCTTTCTGTTTCTCTCTGTCTTTCTGGCGGCACCCTATAGCAAAAACCTCTCAAAAAAAAAAAAAAATATATATATATATATTACTTTTATTATAGGAAAAGTATTTTAAAATAAATACAATTTTCAAAAAAATTAAACCCTACCTAGAAGTTCCATGTAAATTAAATTACAATTTGTTTTAATGAATGGTAAGTTTTACTACTAAAATATAGCTACTATAAATGTTATAAAATTCTATAACTGATCACAGGTTGAAAAAGTATTCACTAATTTTTTTTTCCTTTTTCACTGGATTCTGTATTAATAGATGCTAATACTTGGCTGATGAAGAGATTACTAAATTTAACAAACATCATACAACTTCAAATGGACAAAAAAAATAAAAGATGTACTACATATTACTTATCATCAATTTCAGTTTATCTTGAGATATTTTTCATGAATATAGCTTCCAGATTAAAGATGTTTAAAAGTTAATAAACGTAACCTACATTGAGAGCAATCAGGATGATGTCATTTACATTGACTTTGTCGGGAGAACTTGTGCAAGCTTCAATGCCTTCATCTGAAAGATACCTGTTAAAATAAAATAAATGGCTTAATATTACCTAAAATCATAATAAACCAAAGTTCTTTGCTTACGTCTACATGCAGCTGTGTTCTCTATTAGAGAGTGCTTCTACTAAAAATTCTAGGAAAAGAGTCCTAAATATAAAATCCCTATTTATTTACTATTTCTGTTAGAACAAAATAAATAATTATATTTTTCCTCTTTTGTACCCTTAAAAGGACATTGCATCAATAAAATCATCCATATGCTTTCTAAGAAAAGCTATTTTTTTAGGAATTATTTTATTTAACTTTCTTTCTTTCTTTACTTATTTTAATTTGACCAGAGAGGGACAGAGCGAGAGACAGAAAGAGGGCAAGTGAGAAAGCAAGCCACCAGGTCCAGGACTCCAACCATGGTCAGCCATGTGGGAGTCCAATGCGTTAACCACTACGCCACCTGCCAGTTCCAAGAAAAGCTATTTAAATGTTGACATACTTCCTAAGAAATATATGAGCTACTCTTTGCTAACATACAAATATAATATCTGACTTAATAAATATTTGGAAATATATTCAACTCTTTAAAGAGATCAGGAAGTGCTATAAAACAGAACTAAAAACTGCATAGTTTAAAACATTCCAGCAGATATTTCCTCTGGGAGACCTTCTCAAGTCCCTCTTCTCTAACACTATAGTCTCAAAACCTTTCAATAAATTCTATTGACTCCAAGTGACACAAACATAGGTACTTTCTTACCATTTTTTTACTTTTCCTATTCCTTTTCTAGGTTTTTTTACTTATTGTCTTATTTCCCCTGTGTTGTTTTATCCAGTCCTAGCCAACCATATATTTGTCAATGATGATAATTAATTGAAGAGTAAAGATATAATCAAATCCAAAAGAGGGGAAAAATCATATCGTCCCATGCATACAATGCAGATATTCTGAAATACTTTGTTAAATTCTACCAAAAAGATCAACTGTAAAAGTGCCCATTAACATCTCACTTTTTTTGTAATTGGTATCAGCTCCTTTAACCAAAGGGCTAATGCTACGATTTCCACTGTAGACATTCTCCCACTGCTAAAAGAATCTGAGATTCTTAATCTAACAGTGGTAATTCAAACTCACTCTGAAAGCCAGCAATTTCACCATCAACCCCTAACTCTCGGCTGCTTCTAAAACATTTATCAATGTAAACCATAAGTGGAGACAACAACCAAAAATTATAGAGCTTTAAAAAGTCAAGAATGGCTGAGTGTGATGGCATGTGCCTATAATCCCAGAAATTTGCAGAAGCTGAGGCAGGATCAGAAGCTCAAGGCCTGCAGAAGCTGAGGCAGGATCAGAAGCTCAAGGCCAGCATGGGCAACAGAATGAGACACTGTCTTCTAAACCAAGAAAAAGAAGCAACAATGAAATATTTCTCCAAAGTAAAAGAGCAGGTGAAGAATAATATGAATAATTTGGACCATACAAAAGAGCAGAAGACTAAAGTTGATAAACCTATGAGCAAGACCAAGGAGATAAAAGTCAGGAAAGTTTGTCTATAAATCAAAGCAAGAATATTACAAAATCAGGTACTTATTAAAATGTAAGACCCTGGGACCAGCAGGTGACATGGTGATTAAGGTGCTGGACACACCCACATGACTGACCATGGTTCAAATCCTGGACCTGGTTGCTTGCTTTCTCACTTTCCCTCTCCCTCCCAGTGTCTCTCTCTCTGGTCAAATTAAAATAAGTAAATGAATAAATTAATTTTTAAAAATTTTTTATAATAATAAAAAATAAATAAAAATTTTAAAAGTAAGACCTTGACAGTGCTAAACTAAAATAATGAATAAATTGTAGTTAAGTGGGTTAGAAAACAAAAGTGCTAAGTATATAGAATGATTAGGGGTTTGGCAGGAATGACCAGTAAGTGACCATGGGATACAATTGTTGCCAATAAATTTAAATGGTTAAAACAATGCTTTAATTCAAAAGGGCAATGGTAATTTCCTTGTTACCCTGTTAAATTTTCACTGCTCATTGCCATTAACTTATCTATAATTCCAATTAATCATCTTATAAGTTCAGTTGCATAAAGAGTAATTAAGTCCCTATCATGTGATAAGTACTGTGGGAATCAGTAATAAGATTACTAAAATGATGAAAATTCAACACCTGCCTTCAAGGAGTTCACGGTCTCTACAGCATATCACAATATATGGACAGCTATCCTACATGGCCGAAACAACTATAAATGAAACATGACGGGATGCCAAGGGACTAGGAG